TTATAGGGCAAAGGGTTAAAGAACATTGATTTTTCGACCTCTCTGAATGGGAATACCCCCCCTTAAGTCTATATCGAAAATCTTTCGAAGGCAAAAATATCGCCAGCTCGAATTCCTCGACTCCCCTCGAAATACGTTGACGTTAATAAGTAATAACACCGTTAGCGGATTAAAAATAGAAGCTACAGAGTCCGTAGCCCACGGAAATATCGCAGCTACTGAGACGTAATCGTCGTCGAGTCGGATGTCCTCGAGAGAAACTCTCGAAATAGGGAACGCCTGCGGTCCAGCCACGTTCTTAACGTTTTTCGCCAGGACCCAGGTTCCTCCCTATTTCCTCGTTGCCCTCTCGAACCGGCCAGGGCATCGGGTATCGGGTCGGGCAACGTGCCAAATCACACTCCGGGGATGATAGTGGAAAAAGAGAAGGGCAGAGAACGAAGGAGTCAGAAGGAAGGACGAAGAGAGGCAGGGAAAGGTACTGTAGGCTGTAAGAAAACGGAATATACCTTGGGAAAATCTTTTCTGCATTTTTGCTCCTACGTTCTTTTTTTGTCCCCCGGACACCCTCGACGAAATTCGACTGCAGGATACGCCCTCGAATACGGAATCGTGGTGCGGGGTATCGCGGAGAGTGCACAATGGCAAACGTTTAATCGAATCGTGCTCTCGTAGCTGGACCATAACCGTAAATAAATTTGACGATACGTAGGGGAGACAGGGGCAGATCGTAACAAAAAAAAAGTTTTCACAATTTTTTCTCAAAAGTGTTCTCCTTAATCAGGAAATAATTTGCGTGACTTACTGCTCGCATTTTTGGCCAAGTCATTCAGTGTAAATATGTGACAAAATGTTTGATGCTTAGACATCTATGGTCATCTTAAACAAATCTGAACTTTTGTTACAATGTGCCCTAGCCCGGGGTAAATTGTAACACGTTTGTTTTATTTAGTTAAACACAAATATGAATACGAATAAACTTTTTCAAAAAATATAAATGAAAATGCATATCATTATTAAGCATTTGATATACATGGATTAAACAATCATTGCAAACAATCATTGTAAACGCAAACAATGAATGAATACTTAAAAGAATTCGTAACTGTTAAAGTCAAATTCTAAATAATAATGTTACTAAATATATGGCACATGAAAATTAGATTTTCTAGTACCTTTTTACAATGTACGGTGTTTTAATATGGAAAATTGGAAAAGTGTAATTAATTAAATTGGAAAGAAGAAATACATATTTCACCAAGGAATGAACAATATTAAGTAAATGAACATTTTCTAACCGACGCACAATGTAACTTATATACTATAGAAGTTTTTTCTATGAAAATTATTAACACTTCTGTCCGCTATGAAAATGTTAAAAAACAATTTACCTTTGAACTCAACTGTCCCTTCAGAAGGGACGAAATATATGGGAATTTTGGAAATTCCAGAGTGTAAAGGGTTAAAAGTTCGAGCAATCTATGAAAATCAGTAATCGAATACACAAGAAACCGAGAAAACTGACGATCGAGAAAACGTCCTAATTCCCGACAGATTGACAATTTTTAAAGTCTCTGAATACATAGAAATTGCCTCTAGAACTCGAGTGCCCCGGCAACAGACGAAGCTAGCGAACCGACGAGGGAAACAAGAAAATCGGTCGGCTATATCGAACATCGATAGCGTTCGCAGTAAGCGATTCGAAGGCGTAAAATTATATTGGGCTATTTCTAAGGGTATCATCCCAATAGTCCGGAATAACCGATAATCCGGCGTTACACCCGGAATCCCGTTTCGACGTCGAGCTTTCGCTCTATAATTGCACGGCCCTCGAATTCGCCGAAAATTTACGAACAGGTGCTCGGCACTAATGTCTCGTCGTAACGTTACTATGAGTGTCCACGATCCCTCGGATTATGTCTTTCTGCTAAATTAGTCATCGTAACGTGCTGTATTCATCGTGTGGAAAATATAATCACGGTGTACAAACGTCTAAATTACACTAGAAAGGAGAACGTCACGAAAATGTCCCTTTCGATTAAATTTCGAAAACGAGGGTTCGGTCGGTTGTGACCCATCGCAAGAGCTCACAAATGATAATTCACTTCGTCTTTTCGGGAATAGTTTGGTGATTGGGCTCATCGACGGGTCCTCGATGACCCAGTCAGGGGAACCCTAGAACTAACCACTTTTTAGAACAAATTTACAAAATATCTACGGACTAAAAACAGTTTCGACAGAGTGGTACAGAAACAAAATTTAACCGGTCAAATGATCAAAAAGGGATTTTTTTCATACTTAAAAAATCACGAATCAAGTTATTATTAGCCATGGAAACATTGATTCCATGTATTATTGCTCTTCTCTGCATCTTTCGCGTGATTTTAATGTCAGTCAAGAAATAGAGAAACTATTCCGTAAAAATTCATACTTCCACGAAATTGTTGCGAACACTGTTAGTGAACGATGACGTCACCCAAGAGGTTAAAATTGTTGAAAAGTTTTTAAGTTTCGAAATTTTTACTACTCGACCTATAATCGGAGTGAAAAGTATTCGTACACCCTTTAAAACGGAACAACTTTTTTAAAATTGATCCAAACAACTGGAGTTATTTTGGGAAGTTAGATGCATTAGTTTACTAAATGACGTGTCAAAGAAAAACGTTTTCATTATAATTTTACGATGAATTACATTACTATATTTTTGTTTTTAAAAATCAGTAGAAAAAGCAAGAAATTCTAAAAGAATGATTTGCTAGGTAGCATGTAGACTATAATTTATTCATTATCCTTCACTGTTTCTAATTATTCCTTCACTTTACACGATACAACTCGAATTTTTGTTTCGATTTCGTCAATATAAAATATACAGGTTAATGTGTCGCGTGTAAAGAACTGTTAGGTTTCCACACCAATCAGAAACGATCACGAAAAATCACCGTGATTAAATCTCGTGATTCATAAGTAGCAGTTCACGCCGTCTCTAGTATTCACCTGGCGCGCGAGAGATTCGAAGACCGTGGTGTGTCCGTGAAAATATTTTCTCACGTTTGCTCAAACAACCGTGCAGTTGCCTGGGGTTTCGACCGTGTGTATTTTCTTCGATCTCTTACGTTTCCAATAAATTTCGCCGAGTCGTCGGCTCGCGCATCTCTCGTAGCCTGGAGTAGAGAGAGTGACAGAGAGCCATCTCTACCGTGTCCCGACGGTGGTTTCTCGTTCTCCGCTGTCGCGGATATGAGAGATCCCGCAGTCCTTTGAGTGCTTGTCTTTGACACGGTGATATCCCCTCTTGGCTCCGTTCCGGCGCGACCCTGTGTTTGCGTTTGAATGAGCCCCAGGGAAATAATTAACGAGCAAGACCGACGGACACAGAGATAGACACAGGCAGCGAATATATTTGTGTGTCCCTCGTTAGTTAGTGTGTGTGTGTGTGGGGGGGGGGGGGGGGGGGGGGGGGGGAGGCGACGGGTCGAAAAAGAAAATTAATTCGGTCAACGACGACGATGTGGTACCCGTTGGAATAGATTTTTGTATTTACGGTTTTACGGGATTTCTGCTTGCATCACTCCCGTCTCGCTTCGCCCTGGTTGGCTACGCTCGAAAAAGTTAATGGAACAGCCAGGGCCTGGCCCGGATTCGACGGTTTTAATCCCCGCGAACGAGGATAAAGTGGAAACGCGCGGGGAACGTTGCTTGACTCTTTTGCTACTCGATTTTCATCGTTTTGAAAAGAGACTATCGCGCTAGCTAGCTAGCGAGAGAAAGAGCGCGGCTGATCATTTTCCCAGAGTTCGTCGGGATGCTGTTGGTATCCGAGTCCTTTTCATCGGGGGACACATGGAGCTACGGGATGGTCTCTCGTTTTGATTTAGCTAGAGAATTCGCCTGAGATCCATTTAGTGCATCTCGGGTTTTCTCCCGAGACACTCACGTGCAATCCCTCCACGGGGATGGATTCTGTGTTGGCCCCTTTGACCGGAAGATCTTGCAGACGGATCGATTCGACGGAACTGGGAAAATGTTCTCTCTCGTGATGTGAAATCACGCGAAATAACGTCGACGTTGAGTTTGAAACACCTTGAGCGTGTTTCTTTTTAGCGATGCGAAGACGTCGCGTGATTTCACGGGCGTATCTACTGTTGGTGAATGATCGTAAGGGCACTGGGACGCTGCGCGAGTGTCAACTGGTACTTTTCAGATATTCAAAGTTACTAGATTTTTTACACACATACCAAAAATCGTATTTCGTTAATTCTTGAGGACAAACAGTTGGCTAATGGTAAATGAAACTAGCCTGAATAAATCTCCAGACCTTCAAATCTCTAGGTCTCCAATCCTCTAGGTCTTCAAATCTCCAGACCTCCAAACTTCTAGGTCTCCAAATCTCCAAACCTCCAAACTTCTAGGTCTCCAAATCTCCAGACTTTCAAATCTCCAGACCTCCAAATTTCTAGGTCTCCAAATCTCCAGACCTCAAAACCTCTGTCGCCAAATCTCCAGACTTTCAAATCTCCAGACCTCCAAATCTCTAGATCTCCAAACCTCTAGGTCTTCAAATCTCCAGACCTCCAAACTTCTAGGTCTCCAAATCTCCAGACCTCCAAAGCTCTAGGTCCCCAAATCTTCAGACCTCCAAACCTCTAGGTCTCCGAACCTTTGGCTTCAAAATTTCTCAACCTCCAAACCTTTAGTTCTTAAAACCCCTAGTGTTCAACACACCAGGACTTAAAGACTCCAATTCTAGAGTCCAGAAGCCTAACGCGTGTAGAGTCTCAGGCTAAAAATATGGGAGCTAGCGGGTCCAAGAGTTGGAGAACACATAAAGTCCACGTGAAAACCACTTCATCCAATCCCAAAAGCTTTTGGTTTTCCCGAATTTTCAGCTACCAGGCCCGAGAAGCATAATCGTCGCGACACTCTTCATAATCTCAAAACATCGTGAATCCACGAGTTGAATAGCTTTTCCGCGTAAATAAGACAGCAATCGTAAAACTCACTTTCTCAGGGTGGCCAGACGCTCCTCCTGCGCTTTAATGTACCCATTCAACGTGTCTATGAGGACCGACTCGGTCTCCAGCAGTTCCTCCATGTCCGCCAGCGCGGTGTAGAGCTCCGCCAGACAGCCGGTGAACGCAGTCACCGTTAATAAAATCCCGACGACAACCGTCAACGTCCTTCTGGTCCTCATCCTCGCGATGGAATTCTGCAATAAGAACGGAGAAAAAAAAATAATTAAATTTCCAAGAAATTGTTTACAGAACCAGACCATCGCTCTGGATTATTCATTTCATCGATTAAATCGGACGGTGTACTCTCGATCGACTATCGTTCCTTTTTTTTTTAAATTCCGTCGCGTTCTTTTTTTCAATCCTTATTTCCATCCCCTCTGCCTAAACTCAACCCCCGCCGTGCCGCCACGGAAAAGCGACGCTAACGAGGATCAAATGAAGATAGATGGCTATCAATTAATCACCCGTTGGGTGGAGGGACGAAAAAAAAGAAAAGATTTTCCCGGATTGATTCGAACCACCGTATTCCCGCGCTTAACGGGGTCCCGTTTCCGGGATAAAGTATCCGATCCAGATGGATTCATCGATCGATTTCGCTTGCGATCAACCGCTTATCCCGACCGCGAAGATAAACGTCGCGGATGGACGGGAATTATGATTAAAAAATTCTCCGTGATAGATGTTACATTGCGAAGTGAAAGATTGCCTTGATGTGCCCCAACGACGCGTATCCACGTCAGAATATCTACACGGAATAGCTCTTGTAAAAATAGTTTTCAATACAATTTCATAAACATTTATATACCAAATTAACGTAATATAATAATGTGTTTTATTTGTATAAAAATTAATTCACTCTTAAAATTTTGTAAGTTCTTGGGAATTTAAGGACATTCCAAGGTCAACATAATTTCCTTCAAACAAAATATATATTTTGAACGATCAAGGTCATTCAAGGTCGAACCAAATGTTCCACCTAAAAAAAGCCATATCCCATCTTCCACTGTTTTTTTTTTACCATAAATACTCGAAATTTTTACCGTGACCCGGTACAACATGCCCCATTTTCGTTCTCTGAAATATCAGACAAACCGTTTTGTTGAACCTCGCAGCGGAGCGCGATGTAATTCTTACTATCGCATCGTTGCGTGCCACTGAAGCCCTTTCTGGTGCACTATGCTTTGAACACAGAATCGCGCAGGAAACAGGCTACAATATCGTACAGACTACAATACACGAATTACACAAGCAAACGCAATACGTACACGGATTGGGTGAGGAGGACGGTAAACGATTTTACGCACAGTGGATACAATCCGTCCCGACTCGCCGTGAATTCAGCAACATCTCTCAGACTAAGAAGATCTTTCTCTCCCTCGATGGTTTATTTTTTTCTCCCTTTCTCGAAGGGTATCCACATTCACGGGCTTTGTACCCGACACGGAAGTCCGATAAAACTTCCGTGATTGCATTAGTATCCGAAGTTCCGCGGCCGATATGGTCTTTCTTCTGCGAGTCGTAACTCAAATGGCCGTTCTTTAATTGAACTGAATATTCAAACATCGCGGCCGACGACGCGGTACGAACCAAACAACCGATACAAAATGGTAGGGAAGGAGACCACGAGACAGTATTCGTTCCATTTCCATCGCGACAAACTTTGCTTTGACATTGAAATTTATATTGCGATTCGTATTTGAAAGGTTCGAGACGAGCCGCCCTTATCTTAGTTTCGCGCCTAGCGATGGGTACGAAAACAAACGGTCCAAACGTGTTTGGACATTCTCAAATATGAGATGAACAGCTTGCACAGTGTTTGGTCGTTTCAAACGGTTCTGTTTGAGTTTGTCGCCGATGGTTTTTGGTGTTCGAACTGTTTGAAATGTTTGAAACCATCGAATATTGGTCGAACTGTTTGGACATTTCGAAACGTTCTAATTGTTTGAAACGTACGAAACGACTGAACATTGATCGAACTGTTTAAAATGATCGAATATTGTTCGACCTGTTTGGAACATTTAAAATGTCCGAAACGTCTTAAACGACCGAACACCGTTTGAACTGTTTGAAATGTTTTAAACGACCTAACACTGTTCGAACTGTTTGACGCGATCGAATATTGTTCGAATTGTTTGAAACGATCGAATATTGTTCGAACTGTTTGAAGCGTCTGAAACGACCGAACGTTGTACGAACATTTAAAATTGTTCGAATTGTTTCAACTCTTCGTCAGGAGTTCGAACATTGTTCGAAACTATTTGACCATTTCATCTGGAGTTCGAACTGTTTGAAGATTTTTCCACGATTCCGAACTGTGAACATTTCGTCAGAGGTTCCAGCATATTCGAACAATTTGATTACTCGTCGTGTTTACTCATTCCTGTACATGCAGACATGTATTTACGATCGAGGAACTTTCATTTTAATGGCGATCCAATGAAAAACTGCCGTTTTTACGATCTATGCTCGCCAAAGGGTCGCCGATGACCCGTCCATACGAGGCACGAGGGCCTAAATAACTCACAGATTTTCTCTAACACAACAGATCTTAAGTGACGCGTCACGAGGAATAATTCTAGCATCGATTCTTCCAATGGGGAATAGCTCGGTTTCCCTCTGTAGGATCCGATCGGTGGAGTCCCAGGAACGTTCGTGCGTCAATCTTCGGAAGTTTACCGAAAGAATGGGACGAATCGAAGCCAAGGAGCCAGCCAACTCGCACACTTGCCTGATCCACCGACGATTTATTCCGTCACGGTGCTAGATCGCCAACTTCCCATCCAACCCCATTCCACTCGATCCTCCCCCTTCCAACCCCTTTTGTTCCCGTTTCACGGCCACTCGAAAGTTCCGAGGCGGTCGGTCGAGAGCATTGGAAGGGGGGGGGGGGAATTGCAAGTGGTCGAAGCCGAAAAGAGAACTCGGAGAAACAAATTATAAATGTTGATCGGGAGCCGGGGGCAGGAACGAATCAACCTCGGTCGAGTTCTCGGAGACTTTCGAAAATGGGTCCTCAAAGACTCTCCTCGGTAACTTCATTTTTTTTTTTTTTTTTGCGAAAAAACTACGGGACCAATCGTTTGAACGAGGGGGAACCATCGTCGAGAGAAGCTTCAGCTTCGATTTAGTTGGATATCAAGAGACTTTGCTCAGAGTCCCTTCAGGATTGGGTGAATTTTGTTTATTTACTATTAAGCGACGAACCCTTTGGCAATGTTTCATATATGTATACAAGAATTTGGAGTAGCAAAAAGGGAGAGTAAAGCAAACAGGGACAACAACTATTGTATTCAACAGAATTGTCGGCGAATTCAAACATCTGCTATTTTTGAAGGAGTGAGAAACAAAAAAACACTTCGAACAATTTCTATGAAAATTATTAACTAACGGGTATCATAAAAAAGCAGCTATAATTCGGAAACCAGGTTATATCGGGTATATGTTTGTATGAACTTTTTTTCTTATTTTAACGTACTGAATCCTTCTCTGAAGTTATGCCCACATGTTTTGGATCACCCTGTGTACACCAAAACTTACAGGCCACGCTGTAATAAGACAGTTTTCAAAGTTCAATTTTCACATACACAAATCATTGCTCGAACCTGCGAATCCGTACATATATCCACAGTACACAATACGACTCCGTAAAGTGATATCGCCAACTCACAAAAATTCTCTCGAAACGAACTCTTTCAATCGATATGTTATTGCATTTCAATCTTCAACCCCCTTACGACACCCGCGCCTCCCTTTCAGTGGAATCAGCCGTCAAAGACCAATATACCAGTCCGAAAATATTTCACGGCGGGTTAGTAAAGGGAGGAAGAAACAAAGGGGATGGAGGGGGGGGGGCGGAAAAATGAAGGAGGCGATGGGAGAGAAAAAAAAACGGAATCACGGTTCTCTCTATTGTCCGTTCAAAGGCGGAACGGAGTCGAGGCGGAAGATCGCTCGCGTTCTGGGGGATGGAGTAGGGGGTTGAAACGTGGGAGGGGGGAGGACCCTTTAACATTTTACGAACTTTCGGAAACGGCTCTTCTTCGGTTTCAATGGTCCTTCTTTAAGCTTTTTCATCCGGGAGAAACGCTCTCTCGTCCCTGTAGGGGGAACGAGACGTTCCGAGGGGACAAAAGCGTCGTCCTCCACCCCCTACCCCATCGTTGCTAGAGGAAAATACGGTTTCGGGAACGATTCGAACGGATACGCCGGGGCCACGGTGGTTCCGGTGCACGGCTTAGCGGTAAATCTAATCGTTTCTGCGTAATTCACCGCGGCTGTGACCGCGGTCGCTCCAACCGACACTCGCACCACTTATCCAGGTGTCCATCTGGTCCTGCGGCCGGAACGGACCAGAGGTGTACAGTGGTCCAGAAACAAAATTCACCAGCTGATACGCTTATTTAGCTCAAACGATCAAAAACCGTCGTAACTTATGATTTCGGTGGCGATTAAGGGGTCATGCTCGGTCAGGAGGCCGAAAAAAGGGCGTTTTTTGGGAATTTTTTTCTCAAAAACTATACGACTTCTTTCAAAAAATGTGTTTGCGTTTGAAAGATTGCAGTTTCTAGATTATACGGTAATTTTTTTTATTTAAAAATGTTTATTAGGAAATAAATGGCGAGCGATCTTCCCGATGTCTCTTCACAAAAAGTGCTCTGCCGTGATCACTGTAACTTCGTAACGGTTTATTGGAAATTAAAAATTTAGTAAGATATATGTAATGGAAGAATCAATCTTGTCCTTGAACGTGGGGTTTTTCGAAATATTGATTAGGAACCAAATGGCCGATAATAGAAAATAATAGTACAATGTGGTTTCGATTATTTAAGTTACATACGTTTTCACGAGGAAGTGGAGTCAAAAAAAGTTTGGGAAGCCCTACAGGTCGTTTACACGTTCGAATAATTTTCGCAAACTGATTTGTGCATTCACATTGTCGATTTTATAAATTTCCATTAATTTCCATCGATATTTTCCATTTTACGAAACACAATACACTGTTCAATTAAAAACCACTAGCCACGCAATGTAATTTCAGTGCATTAAATTAAAAAACCGTGCGAGGTAGACAAAGCATGCAACGCACAAGTCAGTTTGCTTAAATTATTTGAACATATAAAACGGCCTTTGAATGAACCTTCAATTTCGATTGTCTCTAGGCGAACAAATTTTATTCCAC